GGTTCAGGCAATTCTCCTGCCTCAGCTTCCTGAGTAGCTGGGATTACAGGCACGCGCCACCGTGCCCAGCTAATTTTTTGTATTTTTAGTAGAGACGGGGTTTCACCATGTTGACCAGGATGGTCTCGATCTCTTAACCTCGTGATCCACCGGCCTCGGCCTCCCAAAGTGCTGGGATTACAGGCGTGAGCCACCGCGCCCAGTCGGCCATATCTTCTTTTACATCAGCAAAACCTAACTGGGTTTCCAGGCTCTTCCTGCTCTTCATGTGGAATGCCTCTGGATTGCTAGATGATGTCTGCAGACCGGTTTTATTTTTCTTTTTTGAGACAGGGTCTTGCTCTATAGCCCTGGGTGGCACGATCTTGGCTCGCTGCAACCTCCACTGTTTGGCTTAAGCAATCCTCCCACCTCAGCCTCCCAGGTAACTGGGACTATAGGTGCACACCACTACACCCAGCTAATTTGTGTGTTTGTGTGTGTGTGTGTGTGTGTTTATAGAGATGAGGTCTTGACGTATTGCCCAGGCTTGCCTCAAACTCCTGGCCTCGAGCAATCCACACACCTTGGTCTCCCGAAGTGCTCAGATTACAGGCATGAGCCACCGTACCTGGGCTTTCTGCAGGTGTTCATTTCATCTCTGAATGGCTTTTTCGATAACCCTCAGAGCTTTGAGGAAGGTCTAATTGTCACCCTCACAGGCTGGTCACACCCCAGTACTAGTCAAGGGGATAAAGCTCCTTGCTAAGAGCCCTGGCAAGGCCTTACATGGGCTGTGGGTGGTCAGGGCAGGGAGGAAGCTCTAGGGTCTGGGACACTTGGATAACTCTCCAAGGAGGAGATGGGCTTTGCTCAGACTGTAAGGATAGAGAGAGCCTGTACGGAGGAGGGGGAGGGAGGAAGGCATTTGAGGACTGTGTTGGGGGCATCTTCCCATCATGCTCTGGTGTGGGGCCAGTGCTCCAAAGGCCCATGGTGGAAGAAGACGGCACTGCCCTTCACCTTCAGACCACTCCATCCCTGAGAGGGAAACCAGAGGAGTCTCCTTGCCTCCCTCAGAGAGGGAGAGAGAGAGGCTATGCTGGGATGTTGTCCCATGACACTTAGGCCAATATTTAGCTCCCCATGGGTGCTTAGCCCTGGGATCCCTGCTGATCTTGGGTAAGGAAGTTGATGGACACAGGGCCATAGCAGAGCCCAGGAAGGACACTTGGGGCTCCAAGGTTAGGTTCTTGGTATTAAGGTGAGAGACAAAATCATGGCCCTGTGACGGAGGAGGTTTGCCCTAAAGAGGATGACTGGGAGCTCGCCATGTGGCAGGGGATAGAAAAGAAGATTTGCTGGCCTCTTATGGAGTAAGGGTTGGGGCTGGCGTGGGCTGCTAAGGGGGAGGCGGTAGGGCCAGTGAAGAGGGACAGATGTAACCAAACTATAGGCCTTGGGTTTCTCAGTCTCACCCACCCTATCCACATAAGTCTCAGTGCAACTTTACACCCACTAGGATGACCACAATAGGACAAGAATGGAAAAGCAGTGTTGCAAGGATGTGGGGAAATTGGAGCTCTCGTAACTGCTCGTAGAAACAGACAGTGCTACAGCCACTAGGAAAAACAGTTTGATGATTCCTCAAAAGGTTAGACGTAGAATTACCATATGGCCCAACAACTTCCTCCTAGGTTTATTCCCCAAAGAAGTGAAAACTGGCACTTCAAAAATCTATGTATATTCTCTGGGCATGGCAGCTCATGCCTGTAATCCCAGCACTTTGGGAGGCCGAGGTAGGTGAATCACCTGAGGTCAGGAGTTCAAGACCAGCTTGACCAACAATGTGAAACCTTGTCTTTATTAAAAAAAAAGCAAAAAAAAAACCAAAAAAACAAAATGAGCCAGATTACATACTTGTAATCCCAGCTACTCAGGAGGCTGAGGCAGAAGAATTGCTCGAACCTGGGAAGTGGAGGTCTTGCAGTGAGCCGAGATTGTGCCATTGTACTCCAGCCCAGGTGACGGAGTGAGACTCTGTCTCAAAAAAAAATAAATAAATATAAATATATATATATGTGTGTGTGTGTGTGTGTGTGTGTGTATATCCACACACTCATGTGTACAGCATATATATACACACACACTCATGTGTACAGCAGTAATACTCATAATAGCCAAAAAGTGAAAATAGCCCAAATGTGCATCACAAATAAACGGATAAACAACATATCCATATAATGGAATATCATTCAGCCATAAAAGGAATAAAGTACTGATGCTTCCATTCAGTGGATGAACCTGGAAAACATGATGCTAACAGAGCCAGACACAAAGATCACGTGTTGTATGACTGTGTTCATATGAAATAGACAGAATAATAACATCTGTAGAGACATCTACAGATTGGTGGTTTCCAGGGTCGGGGGAAGTGGGGTGATGGGGAGCAACAGCTTAATGGGTATGGGGTGTCTTTTGGGGGTGATGAAAATGTTTTGAAACTAGATAGAGGTAGTGGTTGCCCAACATTGTAAATGCATTAATTGACACGGAATTGTTCCTTTTAAAATGGTTCATTTTCTATTATGTGAATTTCACTTCAATGTAAAAAAAAGAAAGAAAAAAAAAGCCTCAGTGTTCTGACTAGTAAAAAGAGGCTAATAACACTACTTATTTCATGGAGAGGTGGTAAGGAATAAGATAACAGGCACAAGTGGCAGCATTCAGCTATTGAATAAAGGGTAGCCAGTGTTCTCTGAATGCTGCTTTCTGGGGTTGCACCAAGGGATGCTCCAAATCTCTTTCCTCGCCCCTAGGGAACGTGGCTTAAGTTCCGGCGCAAAGAACCGAAAAGCCCGAAGAGCTGTAGCTGCGAGGTGGCGCCTAACGCGGTCACAGTCGTGCTCCTTGCTGGTGGGCAGCGCTGAGAGGAGAGCAGCGCTCGCAGGACTGGGCGGGGGATCCCGCAGGCGGCAGGGAACCCGCGGGTCTTTCCCTACCTGAGAGCTGCACGGTTGGCCACCAGGGCGCGCTGCAGGAGTCGCCTTTCCCAGAAATCGGGCAGAGATTTAGGCCTTACAGTTACTTAAACTTGTAACCCTCCCAGTAGCTGTGGAGTCTAGTAAACATGGGTTCTGCCGGGTTCGCCAGTCATCCCAGGCTACTGAGGGGCAGGCACGGGGCCCGTGGGCCAGAGGAGACCTCCAGGCTTCTCTCCCACTCTTCTCTGGCCTGCACCCCCTCTCGGGTAGAGGCTGCCCCTCCTGCTTGGGTTCAGCCACCTCCAAATATTGCATCAACGGCCCGTGCCTCTGCCTGCGGGGCTGGGCCAGCGCCAGAGAGGCAGGCGAAGTGCCAACCGCCCGGGGGCAGCAGCTGGCGAGTTGAGGTTGGTCTCTCTGCTGAGGGTTCGGGGAGCTGGGGATCCTGTCCCCACACACTTTGAGTGTGCCACAAAACCACAGCCTTTCCTTCCCACCCAGCCTCGTCTGCATGAGAAAGCATCACCTTTGCTTTCGGTTTGATGCGGCAGTTCTCAGCCAGGCTGGAGGCAGCCTGGAATCCCAGATCTTCTACTGACACCCCTAGTCACCCGCGCCGCTCCTCTGGGGGACGTTCCTAACCCCTGATTCTGCACCACAGGCAGAGCTGCCAGAACCTCACCGCCACCAAGATTGCTACCTGGAGATTCCTGCTTGCCCCCAACCCCAGGTGAGACCTCTGCATGCATCTATGGCCCAACTTCCGTGTTCTGGGGCTGTCTCTACAATCTGCTTTGCATTCCTGCCAGATCCGACTCATTGACTCCCCCACTTGACCTCATTCTCTCTGTGCACTTTCTTTGGATTTAGGGAAACAGCAGCAGTAAACCCCAAAGACTCAACACGGGGAGCTTTTTTTACAGCCAATGATGTTTGTGTGCCCTAGTGCACTGCTCTGAAGTTTTCCCACGCACTGGGGCCCAGGTTTCTCTCTGGCACGTTGCTGCCTTGTTTACTCCCACGTTAACACGGCTTTATAGGAGCTACATTACACTGAAAGTTTCCAGCCTTGTGAAGTGGCATTTCTTGCTGATAATGAAAACAAAAGACACAAAGAATTCTAAGAAATGCCTACGGTGACACTTGAGGGCCTCTTGCTTAGTCTACTATCAGCTTATTTACTATCAGCCCCCATGGTGTCTGGAAAATCTTGGATTGGTGTTGACTCTTTGGGTCCTGTGGTTTTACCCTGTGGCCCTTTGGAGGCATGTGGTGTCCTGAGTAGACCCAGGCCTTGGGGTTGATTGGACTGGTCAGATGCAATTAGATGATGCACTAGCTGTGTGTCCTTGGGCAAGTTACTTCATTTTCCTGAGCCTCAGTTTTCTCATCCATCAAATGAGGGAAGAAAGAAGTAATTCAAAGAGATGCTTTGAGAATTTGGTGAGGAGGTAGCAGACATGTCATAGGCAGTAAGTACTGGCTGGGATTATTAGCAAAAGCAAATAAGCCCCTTCTTTAAAGGGAACATAACTTTTTCCTAAACACCACCATCATACTTAAATTGGTGATCAAGAAATTATGTTCCTCAAGACACCCAGAAGCAGAGGCCAGGGAGAAGGGTGGTCCAGGGTGCAGGGGCATCTGGATTGCCACTTGCATTTAGGAATGACCTGCAGCTTCAGACAAACAGCAGGAAGAAAGACTCCTTTCCACCTCCGCTGGTTTGAGGTAGAGTTGGACCCTCTGTCTGAGTAGGGTGAGGTGGCTGGCAGAGAGCTGGATACCCCTTCCAATGGCTGGCCAAATGTAGCAGAGGCAGGATTGTTTTCAAAGGAATTAGGTAAAAAGCCTGCAGCCAAGTATGAGATCAAATCTCAGAAAATATCCGTGCTGGGCTGGGCATCGTGGCTCACGCCTGTAATCCCAGCACTTTAGGAGGCCAAGGCAGGTTGATCACTTGAGGCCAGAATTTCTAGGCCAGCCTGTGCAACATGGCAAAACCTCATCTCAACAAAAAATACAAAAATTAGCCAGGCATAGCGGTATATGTGAGGCTGAGATGGGAGGATTGCTTGAGTCTTGTCGCAGTGAGCCAAGGTCATCTCACAGCACTCTAGCCTGGGCAACAGAGCAAGACTCCGTCTTGAAAACAAAACAAAACAAAAAGGAAAGAAAGAAAATGTCAGAGCTGTGGGGGATCCTGGGTGAGAACTTGTAAACCCAAATATCAGCTGCAGAGGTCTAACAGTTATGAAGGGGCAGAGCCTGGCATAGACCAAAGATGGGGTACATTTATCAAGCACTTACTCTGTGCACAGTACTGACCAACTGGCTATCTGTGCAGCAAACAGCAGGACCCAGACTGAATCCCAGTTGTTTGGGTAACAAAATGAAGAGGTGCTGTTCAAGAGGTATAACGTTTCAGTTATACAAGATAAACATGTTCTAAAGATCTGCCGGACCACACTGTGCTCATAGTTAACAATCCTGTGTACCCGTGTTCTTAAAAGTTTGTTAAGAGAGTATGAGGCAGGAGAATAGGTTCTGGGCAAGCAATCTAAGGCCGAATCACGCTGACTTCCTAGAACTAAATCGAAAGGAAAATCCTAACTTTCCCCACTTAAATAACAAAAGGACCAGAGGCTACTCCCTTTGCAACCCCCCTGCTTTTCTGCTCTGCAGATGGAATATTGACAGTTGCAACCGATCGGATATTTGCGTAGGAGTGTAACTTTGTAGCTTCACTTCAGCCTCTAATTGGTTGCTTTCCACAACCAATCAGACTGATTGTAGTCCACTATTCATTTGCATGGGGCAAACACCTAGTGGCCAATGGGAAACTTCTAGCGGGTATTTGGACCGCGGAAGATTCTGTAACCAGATTCTTGAACCCCTATGCTCGCCTGCTCCCACCCTGTGGAATGTACTTTCGTTTTCAACAAATCTCTGCTTTTGTTGCCTCATTCTGTCCTTGCTTTGTTTGTGCGTTCTGTCCAATTTTTTGTTCAAAACGCCAACAACCTGAACACCCTCCACCGGTAACAAGTAGATCTCACTTTAAGTGTTTTTATTACAACTTTAAAAAAGGCTTTAATTCGTTACTTATTTATATACCTAAATGCATACAAATAAAGGAATATTAATAGAGTCTTCATTATAATCTATTAGAAAATGATGTACTATAGGAGTAAAACTAGGATTTGGCTCTGCCATGTAAAATGACTCAGTTGTTTTACACCCAGATTACTAGAGGTTCTTTTTTTCACCAAATTATTCTGTTAACTCTCAGTGTTTTTCACATATTCTTAAAACATCTTGTTAGAAATTCCCTTGGATAGCCCTGACCTGATTTTATTTGCTCATATTTAAAAATGCTATCACAGACCTAAATTCACCCTTAAAGTAGAGACCACTCCAGAAATTAAATCAGCCCCAATGACTAAAATAATTGCCCTCATCTGGGTATGCTGGCTGGTAAAATGTAAAAGAGTAAGCATATACACTAATGGCAGATGCAATTTTGGGGAGTCCGTGACTTTGAAATGCTTTGGAAATGAAAAGTTTTCTAACCTCCACAAAAACCTCCAAAAATTGGATGACAGGTTAAAAATAAAACTGCAGCTGCTTTCCTGTTACCTAAGGAAATAGCTGTCATAAAGTAGACCACCATTCAATGCACAAAGACCTAGAATTTCTAGTAAGACTTTAACGGACCGCTATGCTAACCCAAGAACCATTCACCAAGATCAGTGCTCCTGCAATCGCACAGAAAAGAGGGGTGTTGGAGGATTCAAAGAGGCCATTTTTAACTGTCAGAGACAAACCCTTGATTCCCAAAAGTAGAAAAGTGAACAAAATTGGAAGTGGGAAAAGTTTGGATGTTCATGGCATAAAGAGATTATCTAATGCTCTCAGGATGGCTGACACATAATCCCAAATAATTTAAAGTGGAATTTCAGAAACTGCTTTGTGATATTACTCATAATAGCAGAGATAATTTGTCAAAAATACTAAACCAACATTGGTGGGGGTAATTTTAGATATTTTTAAAACTTGTCCTAATGCCAACAGTGCAATCCTCATGAATGCAAATGTGGGATATGAATAAGAACCAAGATCTCGAGGGCGTTTCAGACCTCCAATTACTTTATACGAATGGCTCCGGCAATGGACTATAAATTATATGTTCTGATTATTTTCTGTTTTTTTTTTTTTTGTTGTTGTTGTTTCTTCAAGATGGATTAAAGCTTTTCCTTGCCGGAGAGTTATGACTATTAACTGTGGCAAAGATTTCTGCTTCATTTTGTTTTCCAACCTGGGAATTTCTACTTATGTCTCTAAGGAACTCTGTCAAGTTTGCCTTTTACCCAAAAAACTTTACTGTTCTTAATACCCACATTCCTTGGGAAAAACAGAGAGAACTAATGAAATTTGAAAGCTAAGATGAACAATACTCCCTTAAACTCCTATGGTCTAAAATCTTCTCTTTTCCGGCTGGAACCATGGAGAGTGTCAAAGAGAAGGAGGTTCCTGCTGTGCCAGAAAATGAGAAGGAATTTCTCAGAGCCGAAGATCAAGTGCCTAAGAAATAAGTTTGCCCAAAAGATGCTTCAAAGGGCAAGGAAGAAGCTTATCCGTGACCAAGTGAACAGGCAGATGTACAGAACTGAAATCTGAATGGCAGGCATGGCAGGAAAAGCTGGCAACTTCTATGTCCCCACAGGACCCACACTGACGTTTGTCATCAGGATCAGAGGTATCAATGGTGTGAGCCAAAGAATCCGAAAGGTGTTGCAATTCTTCGCCTTTGTCAAATCTTCAGTGGAAGCTTTGTGAAGCTCGACAAGGCTTCAATTAACATGCCGAGGACTGTAGAGCCATGTAATGCATGGGGGTACCCACATCTGAAGTCAGTAAATGAACTACTCTGCAAGCCTGTTTATGGCAAAGTCAGTAAGAGGCGAATTGCTTTGACAGGTAACTCTTTGATTGCTCGATCTCTTGGTAAATATGGCATCACCTGCATGGAGGATCTGATTCATGAGATTTATACTGTTGGGAAATGCTTCAAAGAAGCAAATAGGCCAGGTGTAATGGCTCACTGTAATCCCAGCACTTTCAGAGGCCAAGGTGGGTGGATTACCTGAGGTCAGGAGTTCGAGACCAGCCTGGCCAACATGGTGAAACCCCGTCTCTACTAAAAATGCAAAAATTAGCCAGGCATGGTGGTGCGTGCTGGTAACCCCAGCTACTCAAGAGGCCGAGGTAGGCGAATTGCTCGAATCCAGGAGACGGACGTTGCAGTGAGCCAAGATTGTACCACTGCATTCTAGCCTGGGCAACAAAGTGAGACTCCATCTCAATTAAAAAAAAAAAGAAGCAAATAACTTCCTGTGACCCTTCAAATGATCATCTCCACAAGGCGGAATGAAGAAATAGACCAACTATTTTGTAGAAGGTGGAGATTCTGGCAACAGGCTTATTAGAAGACTATCTTCCATGATTATTTTGCTACGCTGCTCAGTTAATAAACAGTACCTGCTCTCAAATTGAAAAAAAAAAATCTTACCTCTAGCTTCAGTGTGAATAAGATCAACACTTTCTGGGACCCACAGGTGACCTCCTTATGAATTAATATGAGGCCAAGCTGGGTGTGGTGGCTCGTGTCTGTAGTCTTAGCTACTCAGGAGGCTGAGGTGGGAGATTGCTTGACGCCAAGAGTTTGAGGCTGTAGTGCACTGTGACTGCGCCTGTGAACAGCTACTGCACTCCAGCCTAGGAACATAGCAACACTGTGGTGTTTGCGCCAAGGGCTCGAGACAGCTAGTTGACTCGCCCCAGTTTGGCTGCTGGACCTGTCTGCATTTCCCCACCTCGAGGGCTGTCGAGTGAGACAAAGGGCCGTGAGCTGACTCACTAAAAGCAACAACAGAATGCAAAGCAAAGGCCTGCAGTTTATGAGGACATTGTGCTGTCTGCTTCCATGTCCCCCTTCAGTCTCTGTGTAAGCAATAAACTTGCTGCAATTGAGATGCCTAAGAGGAGCAGAGACCTCTGCCCATATTTTCCCTGGAGCCAAGCCTTTGTTTTAGCTCCTGGTGAAAAACAGGTTTAACCAGCCACCTTAAGGGCGCCATTGTATCTTTGAAATGTAAAATCTTTGAAATGTAAACTACTATCACTAGCCCCCTTAAACTGCTTTCTGAGCAGGATATCACAAGCCCCTGATAACTATTTTTTATGGAGTTTCTATTTCCTTTCTGTCTACCCCTTTCTTTCTGCTGAGATAAGGTAAATGTAAACAAGAAAAAAGGTATAAAAGCTGTAACCCACAAGAATAAATTTGCTGCGTTTTGGCCATAATCTTCACGCAGCCCTCCAGATTCTACTTTTCTCTATTCTTTCTTTTCCGCGCACTCTCTCTCTCAGGTTGAACGAGACGTCTACGTTGGCGGTCTCGGGGACTCCCGCAGGTCGGTAGTCCCCCAGCAGACGTGCCGGACCCCGACACAACACCCTGTCTCTAAAAAAAGAAAAAAGAAAAATGGCCCATCCATGTATTTGAAAATTTCACCACCAATCTTAGATTTGGCTCTATTAAAATTATAATGAAATACGATTAAGAATTGCCAGGGAGTCATAGAATACCTTCAGCCTCATCATCAACAGATACAACCTACATTTCCAATCCACTCACCTATGATTCACAACAAGAGATTTAGTGTTCTGGAAAAGACCTGATATAAAAAGACCGGCCTTTGGAGACTTGACAAAATGGACCTTATCAGATATTGTTAGTCATTTACCCAGCAGTAATACTCCAAAATATGGATCATTAGGTTAATTATTTCCTAGCTTAAAAGAGATACAGTATTTCCTCCTGACCACTGGACACCCATGCCACTGGAAATGTTAGATCCTTAGGCATGCTCCAGGAGATGCTGACTTCAGAGGTGGATAGCTTCTGCCCAGCACTTTGGATAAAGATTAACATTCGACATCCTTTCCTGGCTATTATTCTACTTTGAAGCCATGTAAAATATGAATGTTAACTTCCGTATTTTCATCCTATTACTTTTTTTTTTTTTTAAGAGCCAGGGTCTCACTTGGTTGCCCAGGCTAGAGTGCAGTGGATTGTACCAAACCACTCACCTATGATTCACAAGAGATTTAGTGTTCTGGAAAAGACCTGAGATTAAAAAGCCTTTGAGAGTCAACGAAATGGACCTTATCAGATATTGTTAGTAACTGACCCAGCAATAATACTCCAAAATATGGATCATTAGGTTAATTATTTCCTAGCTTAAAAGAGATACAATATTTCCTCCTGACTACTGGACACCCATGCCACTGGAAATGTTAAACTGAGATTCTTAGGCATGCTCCAGAAGACGCTGACTTCAGAGGTGGATAGCTTAGGTGATTGTATGCAGCTGATTGTACATAGCTCAATAGGTACAGAGCTCAATCACCTACATAGGTGATTGTACATAGCTCACTGCACCCTCAGACTCCTGGGATCTAGTGATCCTCTGACCTCAGCTTCCCGAGTAGCTGGGATTATAGGCACAAGCCACTGTACCTGGCCCTCATCCTATTACTTTTGATCTCTTATGTTCTCCATCTACCACTTAGTAGAAAACAGAATTTTCTTGTACTTTTTTTTTCCAGATCATTGCTGCCACTCTGAATCTAAGAACCCGGCTGACAAAAATTTCATAGCTGTCCTTTGAAAAACTTTACAAGGCAACCTCCCTTTAACTGGCTCCTTATGGTAATTATGCTTCACTCATATCATTAATCCAACCTTCAGTCTCAACAATTGCCCTCTGACTTCATGCCAACAAATTGCTTCTGCTGAGGCCATTACAAGGTCAATCACTCAGGACTAATATTGGGGCTATCATGGCTCCCACGGTTGTTTGCTTTCTTCAGAGACATCTGAGCCTGCTTTGCAGAAACTATTTAATTCCACTCAAGGAATCTGTCCATCTTGAGGAACACAAAAGTGACTCCTTCCTATTGCAGTAAATGATACTTAACATCAGTGTGATCAGTGCTCAGATAAAATGCTGTTTCTCACATGACATCAGGCTCATTCTGTCCACTGCACCGTGACTTACCTGTGATTCCAATGACTTTTTAGAGATTGCCAGATATTTAAAACTACCATCCCACCAAGAAATCATGTTTTCTTTAAAAAGATATCCAGACACTTCTAAAATGAGGAAGGCACAGATAATCTGGTAGACTTCCCAGGAAGCATAACTGATTTCTCTGTCATACAGGATGCAATTCCTATAGTAGGAATAAAACAAGATATATGCAGCAAAATTGGACAGAATTGAAGGGAGAAATAGATAGTTCTACATCAACAATGGGTGGCTTTCAAATGCTTCTTTCAATTGTGGAAAGGCTGAGACAGAAGGTAAGTGAGGAAATACATAGTGAACCAGTTAGATCTCACAGACACGCAGAAAACCACCTGACAACAACAGCTGTACATTCCACCCCAGGGCACCACTTCCGCCTCCCTCATCCCCATTGCTCCGGATCCCCATCCACAGATCCACTCCCCGCTGCCGGTGTGATCCTCGAGCCCACTGTGGCCCCCGCTTTGAAGAGCCTGTTGGTCCAGTCCTTCCCGCCTTCTGAAGAGCTGTTCTCCTTCTAAAGAAGTCACCTGGGCCCTGGGCCCCGTCTTCCTGGCTCCAGAGTCCCTGTGGCTGCAGACACTGCTTTTCTCTCCTGCACTCAATCCCTCTCCCACTCCACTGCCTCTGGGTGTGCAAAAACACTGATGTGTCCCATATTTTCAAAATCTCTCCCCTGTAGTACCCACCTGACTTCTAATAGGTGGCCAAAGTACATACATTAATGTATATTAAGGCACATAATTCATGCATATTCATAATTAACAATAATGAATAAATAATTATTATACATTAATGTCTTAATGTATAATGAGAAGTATAACTATTCAGAAGTCCAAGCACTTGTGTGTATTCATGGTGCTATCGCCTTGCCGTGGGCAAACCTACATTGACACAGAGTCCACTTCCTGAGCCTGGACCCAGGCTCAGAGCTGGGGAACTGGCCCAGTGCGAAAGGGTCGGGAGCATCTGCAACAGAATCTGAGCTCTGCCATCGTCGATGACACAGCCTCCATCCACCCTCCCCAACTCAACAGAGAGAGAGCACTCCATCAGACTTCTAAGACTTAGTAGGCCCAGAAGGGCTGAATTAAATTCTCTGAGACTTGTCTTTGGCCTGACCCTGGCAGCCTCAGTCTCCCAGAGCTTGTGGGGAACTCGGCAGCCGACAGGCGGAAGGCTGGGCGACGTCAGGAGAAGAAGTAAAGGGGGAAGAACTTTGCTCCTAGGATCTAGCTTGACTCTAAAGGGCACAGCCAAGTCCCTGGATACTGAGCAGAAGGCTGACCGGGGCGCGTGCGCGGGCGTGTGGGCGGGGCGAGGAGCCCCCGGGGCGGGGCTACGGAAGCTGGCGAGGCCGACCCCGCCTGGGGCTTCCTGACCTCGCTCCCGGAACCTTCTGAGGTGGCGGTGGCTCTTACCCCTTCCCGCCAGGAGGATCCAGCTACCTGCTGCTGGCCTCCCGCGCCTGCAGATCTCTGGAGCCCGTTGGAAGTGACGACCTTGAATATCGGCGGGAGCCGCGGGACCGAGGGGCGGGTCTGGCGCTAGGCCGTGCCCCTGCACGCGCAGGAACCCCCGGAGTAGGTCGCAGTTCAGCCCACCTGAGGCCTGTCTGCAGAATCCGCAGCAACCAGCAGCATGCCCATGACACTGGGGTACTGGGACATCCGCGGGGTCAGTGAAGGTCCGCTGGATGGTGGGACCGGGGCTTGTGGCTGGGGAAGTGTCCAGCGGCTGGGAACAGGCTCTAGGGACAGTTCCTCTTCAGGGCTGTCCCTCACAGGAGGGCCTGTGCATTCCTGGCGGGGGAGGGACGTTGGTGGCGTGGGAGGGGGGACGAGGAGGAGAAGGAGAGGGCAACGGGTGCGTGCAGTGCAGACTGGGGGCTCCCCCGGTGCAGGGAAAGTCATCAAATCAGGGACCTTCCATCTCTGACCCGAGCCACGGGCCATCTCTCCCAGCTGGCCCACGCCATCCGCCTGCTCCTGGAATACACAGACTCAAGCTACGAGGAAAAGAAATACACGATGGGGGACGGTAATGGCACCCTCTTGCCCTGGCCCTGTACACTCACGCTGAGTTGTCACCAAGCAACCCACGGTGGCCACCTGTGGCTGCCCCTGCAGGCCTCGCCTGCTGGAGCTGCAACCTGTCCCTTCCCTGAGCCCCGGTGAGGGAGACCTCTGGCTTTGCAAGGCAGAATGCTAGGGTGGGATGCTGGGGCAGGAAGCTGGGCCCCCGGTCTGGGTAACTGGGGTGGGTGTCCTTCAGGGCTTGGCTAAAGCCTGGAAGCCTTAGTCGTGTGGGGTCCAGAGCCCTCACCGGGATTCTTTCTCCCTGAACCCTGGGACGTGGGACTGAGTGGTCAGATTCTAGATCCACCAGTCTCAGGGGTCTTGCCACTGGCTCCTTGGGAGGGCCCTGGGGAAGGTGGGCTGGGCTCCCGGGAGGTTTGTTTTCACTTCCTCTTCCCACCGCAGCTCCTGACTATGACAGAAGCCAGTGGCTGAAGGAAAAATTCAAGTTGGGCCTGGACTTTCCCAATGTAGGTGCAGGGGAAGGGGCGGTTTTGGGGCAAAGTGCAGCGTGTCTCTGACTGCATCTCCTCTCCCCAGCTTAGAGGTGTTAGGGTCAGGTCTTTTGCCCAGTTCCTCTCATTCCTGGCTGTCTGCACAACCCTTCCATGCTGTTCCGTGTCCCAGCTCATTCGTCCATATGACAGTATTCCTATTTCGGCCTGTCATGAGCAGGCACAGTGAGTGCCCGGTCTCCTGTGTGCCCTTGCTTATGGGAAGGGGATGCTGGGGAGGCTGCTGGCCCAACTGAGCTTCCCTGGTTTCCCCTCCATCCAGCTGCCTTACTTGATTGATGGGGCTCACAAGATCACCCAGAGCAACGCCATCCTGCGCTACATTGCCCGCAAACACAACCTGTGTGAGTGCAGGAGGCTGCAGGGTGTGGGGGGACGGCGGCCTCCTCCTGGGCTTGTCTGGGGTGCGATGCTGAGAGTGAGTCTGTGTTTTGTGGGTGGCAGGTGGGGAGACAGAAGAGGAGAAGATTCGTGTGGACATTTTGGAGAACCAGGCTATGGACGTCTCCAATCAGCTGGCCAGAGTCTGCTACAGTCCTGACTTTGTGAGTCCCTCCCTGATCTGGGCCAGGAGCCAGGCTTCTTGTATTTCCATCTACTCCGGTCCTGTTCACAATTTGAACTCCTCATTGCTATTGATCCTCTGGGGGTTCCCTGTACTGTAGCAGAGTGACCGTTGTATCATTAAAATGTAACAAATAAAAAGTCGAAATCGGTCCCCACCAGTCATAGGAAGTCCAAGCTAGAAATTCAGTTCTTAGACAATGAAGTCATGCGTTCAGAATTCCCTTTACATGTGACCCCTGACCTCCGCCACGGGCCATCTCACCCCGCTGTTCAGGGAATAGGCAGACTCACACTATGTGGTACAGAGGTACACGATGGGGATGTAAGAGCACTCTCCTCTATGGAATTCCGGCCTATTCTCTTCCTGGTGCTTCTTGACAGGCACAGGGATGAGTGCGTTTTCCTAACAGGCAGCTCAGGGGCAGTCAGAGGGCCTTTGTTCCTCTGCCTCCTTCTACTCAGCCTCTCAAAATCTCATCTCTCCAGAAACGACTCAGTATCCATTGTATTCTTCTGCCACTCGACTAGGAGGAATTTTAGACTTCTTTCCCTGAGCTCCTTTAGTTCTTTGCGTCCTTGATTCTGCTTGTGTCTGGATCCAGACCTTGCCAGGTACTCAGGTGCTCCTGGGGCTGACCCAGAGGAGGGTGGTTGGGAGGTCAGTGGGGACAGATTCAGGGACAGTATAGCATTCCTTTCTGCCTTCCCATCACCTCAGAAAGCCTCCAGCCACCCACTTGGAATCTAATAAATGCTGATATGTCCAACTGAAGCCAGTTCCAGTTGTTGGGAAGATCATTGCTTGCCTGTGGCCAGCCAGGGCCATACACAGCCCTGTGGAGGCCACCGCTGTGCAGGGAGCTTGTATCTGAGAGTGGTGACAGCTGGGTTCTGTCTGCCTCAGGAGAAACTGAAGCCAGAATACTTGGAGGGAATTCCTACAATGATGCAGCACTTCTCACAGTTCCTGGGGAAGGGGCCATGGTTTGTTGGAGACAAGGTAACGGGGGCGTGTGATGGGGACACTACAGACTTGTCATACATCCTGTTACGGAGATCTCAGCCCACTCATTCTTGGCCTTCTGCAGATCACCTTTGTGGATTTCCTTGCCTATGACATCCTTGACCTCCACCGTATCTTTGAGCCTACCTGCTTGGACGCCTTCCCAAACCTGAAGGACTTTATCTCCCGATTTGAGGTGATGCCCCTGTACTCCTTTCTCTTTGGTGCCCCTTGTTTGAGATGCTTTCCCAGTCCTGGAGCTACACAGAGAATAACTCGCATTTGTTGAGTGCTGGCTTCATGCTATGAACCGTGACCAGCACATTATACCTATTGTGTCGAAGTTGAACTTTGCAACATTCCTACAGGGTGACAGAATTATCTCACCCATTTTAGATATAAAGAAACTGAGAGTGAGGGTCAGTCCTTTGCTCAGGGTCCCAGAGCCAGTGGAGGCTGTGCTGGGCTCCCTGTGAGCCTCTGGATCTATGGGCGGCAGTCAGGGCTCTCCCTTTTGCAACAAAAGAAAAAGCCTCAGGCCTCCTCCAGCCTGGGTTTCACAGCCCAGGACACTCTGGAAGGGGCAGAGCTCTTCAGGAGCGTGGATGCAGCTGTCAATAGTAGGACTGGCACACGGTAGCATCGATGTTGAGTACTAAACCCACAGGCAGTATTCAAAGCTACCCCCAGAAGCTTTGCATGAATTGACCCCCATGTGGGGAATCCTGAGAGCCAGGGCTGTGGCTGTAGCTGGATGAGGTACATATGTGGGTGCCCCTGTTGAAGGAGTTTATGTTGAAGTGCTCTGTGCTGGGGCACTCTCCTTCCCTACCTCTCTTCGTCTCCAGTGTTCCAAGTGTCCCCCTGTGAGATGGGGAGCACACTGATTTTAACTCCTCTTCACTGACCTCCTCCTCTGCATGAGGCAGGGTGAGAGGCACAGTGGGAGATGCATAGAGGACCGCCCCATCCTGGAAGTGAGAGCAGGGAGAGGCCTGCAGGCAGAGCAGCCTATGAGGTGTGTGTGGCACCACCTGAGGACAGGGGCCTGTCCCTCACTCACGGGGAACCATCTCTCACCCGTGCTGATCTTGTTTGAGATCAGCAAATCCTACTTTAGTACAGATTTGGGAATGTGAGGCATTAGTCTAACAGGTTTTTCATCCTAGAATCTTTTCTTTTCCCACTCGCCATCAAGAGATCCAGTTACTCAGCTAGTTCCCATCAGCTCTGGCTCTGGTCCAGGCTGAGTGGCTCTGGGGTTACATAAGAGGTGGTGGGAGGGGAGGAGAGCCAAGGGCTGCAGCATATGGTTCACCTGGGCTTGGCCTTTTGGGAACAGGCAGCCCTGGATCTCTTAGAATCCTTAGAAATTACATGGTCATTCAGTCTTGAGAAGATCATGCAGAGCACACCTGAGTGTCTTGTAGCCTGGCCCGTGGTAGTGGGGTTGGAGATGAGGTGGGTTGGGGCACAGTGGTATTTAGCTCAGGTATCAGGTGGGGAGGTTTGGACTTTCTGCTTTAAAAGAAATGATTAGAGTCTCCTCTGGCCTTCCTTTTGCTGGTCCAGCACACCTTGTCCACTTTCATCCCACTTTTGCTGGCTCATTGGGTGAGATCTGGGCTGCACACACATGAGGTCCCATCTGTGTGTGCAAACCTAGGCAAGCCAGGAACCTCCCTGTGAAACAGGAGAATGTTGTGCAGACAGAGAGCGACAGGACCTCCTGAGGAATTTGGGGGAGGATGGGAATTTGGCAGAAAGAGGCCAGAACTGGAGAGACGCAGAACCAGGCTACATTGCAGCCCTGCCCGCTTACTAGCTATTTGAGTGTGAGCAAGTTGCTGAACTTCTGTTTCTCACAGGAGAAATGGTGATAAAAATTCAACCTTGCAGAGTAGTTGAGTGGATTTTCTAAGCCTGTGTTGTAATTTGTCTTGGGTATAGAGCAGCCAGCACAGTGTAGAATCTTCATAAGTGGTAGTTGTTTTCATGGTATAACATTACTTAAAGGAAGTGGGAAGAGTTAACTTAGCAGATGTGGGGACCCTAAGAGCCTGTGCGATGCTCCAGCACTTGAGCCCAGGTGGAAAAAGGCTGTGGCCAGGGCCCTGACCTGCGCCTGCAGTGGGGTTGCCCCAGCCCTCATGGGCAGCTGACCTTGAGCTCTGGCCTTATTTTTCCCTGTCAGGGCTTGGAGAAGATCTCTGCCTACATGAAGTCCAGCCGCTTCCTCCCAAGACCTTTGTACACAAGGGTGGCTGTCTGGGGCAACAAGTAGTGTCTTGAAGGCCAGGCGGTGGAGTGAGTAGCCCATATGCAGCTTGCCGCCCCAGCTGTGTAGAGCACGTGGGCTCTGCACCCCAGCATCTGCCTCATTCCTTTCTCCTGCTGATTCCCTTCTTTACCCTCAAGACCTTATTGGCCCTATTCACTTCCGCTGAACCCCTGTCCCATGAAGGCCCTTTAAAACCTCAGCTACCCACTTTCCTTCAGAAACATCCCCCTCCCAACTTATCCTTCCCTGCACTAAAGCCAGCCTGACCTTCCTTCCTGTTAGTGGTTGTGTCTGCTTTGAGGGGCCTGCCTGGCTGTGGAGTTCAGCCCCAAGCTGTCCCCGCGCTGCATGAAAGAGCAGCATTGACTGGTTTACAGGCCCCGTTCCTGCACCATGGCCCCTGCCTTAGGCCTACCTGATCCAAGTAGAACGTCAACCACATTTGCTGTAGTCTTGTCTTATTTGTTCCCATCTGCCAAGACTGCCTGTCTGTCACTCCTCCTTCTGAAGGACTGACTGGTGACCCTGGCAAATGGCTGGATTTATAGAGATTATGGTAGGCTCAGTAAGGTGTTTCCAACCTTTTGTTTTTTTTTTTTAACAGAGTCTCCTGCTTCCCAAGGAGAAGGACACTGGTGGGATCATAGCTTATTGCAGTATCCAGTCCTGGGCTCAAGCAGCCTTCCCACTTCAGTCTCCCAAATAGCTGAGACTACAGGTGTGCCACCACACCTGGCCACATTAAAATTTGTTCTGTAGAGGCAGTGTCTCACTATGTTGCCCAGGCTGGTCTGGAACTCCTGAGCTCAAGCGATCCTCTTCCTTGGGCCTCCCAAAATTCTGGGATTGCAGGTGTAAGCCACCACACTTGACCCTGCTTCCATCTTCTTGATCTCTTTTCTGATAGCCTTAAAGCAGGAAACCTCATAAAGTGCTCTATAGAAAGGATGCCTCTTTCTGGGTCTAGATCTTCATTTATTCAGTATTACTCACTGCTTTCCATAGTTAGGCAGAGCTGGATCTCAGTGAGGAGGTCTTAGATGCCCAGAGGTAGCGGAATTCCCATCACAGAGAACCAGGATCCTTCTGTCTTCCACACTGTCTGAACCCATCACAGCTGCTAGATCTCTAGGACCCAAACTCTACTGTGAGCTGCTTCACCAGAAGATTCTCCCAGCTCAGCAGTTCCCAAGCTGTGTTACCACAAATAGTTGTTGATATTTTGGGTCAGGTATTCAGGTAAGGCTCAGTAGGGAGAACTTATTACAAATCAACAAAGGTCTCTTCTCCAAAAACTGTATATCCAGAAATACAACTCATTAGAATTAGTCAAAACTTCAACAGGCATTTCCCCAAAATGAATATCCAAATGGCCAATAAGCACAAGAAGATGCTCAACATCATTAGACAGCAGAAAGTTAAACCCCTACTGTTCAGATCCTGTTGTATCCCCACCAGAATGGCTGACATGGAAACTACTGACAATTGTTGGTGATTTATGGAGTAACTGGAAGTGTCATGCATTGCTGGTGGGAAAGCCGCTTTGGAATACTGGCAGTGTCAACTAGAGCTAAACATACATCTACCCAGGACCCAGAAATCCCAACCTGCAGGAATGAGTCCTAATGGATTCCAAGAGTCAGATACAATGATGTCAAAAGCAGCTTATTTTAAATAGCCAATAACGGAAAACAATCCAAATGCCATGAACACAAGAATGAACAAATGAACTGCGGTTTATCAACATAATTCCATCGTTCGTATAATAGGATGCTTACTCTGCTATAATGAAAATAAATGTGCTAATGCTACATGCAGAAACATGAATGGGCCTCACAGACATGTTGAGTAACAGGATCCAGACAAGAGAAAGGACACATGGTCTCTCCACTTACATGAAAATCAGGAGAGGGAAATGAGTCCATGGTATCGGAGGGCCGATGATGGGTGGCCTTGGCGGGAACTGGGAAGTTGCCTGTGAAGGGCCTGGTGGAGTGCTGCAAGTTTCCTCTGTCTTTATCCGGGAGGGGATTCCAGAAGAGCAGACAAGTGGGAAATCCCGGAGTAGCACACTGAAGACCTGTGCACTGTGTGTATCACACTTCAGTGAAAAGTATGCACATGTGTCTTAGATTATTTGTGTGTCTGTGTTTGTTTGCTTTCCCTCATAAGGCGTCAACATCTTGAGGGCCTGTGTTTTTACCTCTTCTTATTCACCGATGTTACAGGCGTTTGGATATCACCCAGAACAGTCCCTGAGCATAGTAGGTGCTCACCGAATAGTTGTTAAGCAAATTATAGGCTCATTTTAGTGTGTCACTTCAAATTCTCTTTAGATTTGTATTCATGCCTACTTCTTTGGGTAGGTGAGTTGATGTGCACATATAATTTTAGATTCTGCAGATTTTTTCTCTTAAACATTTTACTTAAGAATCTGTACATGTTGGTAGTCTATATGCATGCCTGTATCTAACATTTAATGGCTATCTAACATTACTTCCTGTGGGTAAATTATAGTTTGCCTAGTCATTCTTACCCTATTGGGCATGTGGGTTTTTCTAATATATTTATTTTTAGAACAGGGTGATCATGTTTAAACAAATTCCTTCCCTGGTTTTTGGTTACTTTATTACCCTGAGTTGATCCCAAAGGCAATTACTACAAGGCAAAGGGTGGGAGTGGTGTTATGGTATTATCATAGATGAACTGACTGCTCTCCAGAGAAAATAACTTTTTTTTTTTTGACATGGAATCTTGCTCTGTTGCCTAGGCTGGAGTACCATGGTGTGATCTCAGCTCACTGCAGCCTCTGCCTCCTGGACTCTAGTGATTCTCCTGCCTCAACCTCCCAAGTAGCTGGGATGATAGGTGCCTGCTACCATGCCCGGCTAATTTTTGTGTTTTTAGTAGAGACGGGGTTTCACTGCGTTGGCCAGGCTGGTCTCGAACTCCTGACCTTGTGACCCACCTGCCTTGGCCTCCGAGAGTTGTAGGATTACAGGTGTGAGCCACCTTGCCGGCCCAGAGAGAATAACTTATTCGTGGTGCCCCCTGCAAGGAACATGGATCTTTGTGCACTACCTCAGGTACTTGAGGGATTGCAGTTTCTTCTTATATTTTGTTAGGTTTATAAAGACACCTTCAAGTTTTCTACCATCACCTTCTTTGTTTATTGGTTCCGCGTGTTTCTGTCAGTGAATCACAGTCTATGAATCTGTTTGTGAATCCCTGTATCAAACAATGTGTACCCATTCTCTACCTGTAGCTCAGTCAGTTTCTGGAGAAAGGTTAAAGAATGATCTTGTGGCAGTCAAGACCTTTTCTCCAATAGGCACAATGTAGTTAATTGTGATTCTGTTCTAGGTTTCCTGTGACCTACTGTGAGGGTTAATTTTCTGCATCAGCTTGACTGGGCTAAGGAATGCTCAGATGGCTGGTGAAATGATTGTGTTTGTGAGGGCGTTTCCAGAAGAGATTCGCTTTTGAATCAGAAAACTGAACAAAGATTTCCCTCAGCAGTGAGGGGGCATCCACCGAACTATCAGGGCCCAGAGTGAAGAAAAAGACAGAGGAAGGGTGAATGTGATCTTTCTGACTGGGACCTCCATCTCCGCCTGTCCTAGGACATTCGCATTCCTGGTTCTCTGGCCTTCAGACTTGATCAGGGACTAACACCATCGCCTCCCACCCCACCTTTCTTCAGAGGCCTTTAGACTCACACTGAATGAGACCACCGGCTTTCCTGCTTCTCTTTTTTTTTTTTTTTTTTTTTTTTTTTTTTTTTTTTTTTTTGAGATGGAGTTTCGCTCTTGTTACCCAGGCTGGAGTGCAATGGCGCTATCTCGGCTCACTGCAACCTCCGCCTCCTGGGTTCAGGCAATTCTCCTGCCTCAGGTTCTAGGTTTCCTGTGACCTACTGTGAGCTACTCTCGAGTAGCTGGGATTACAGGCACGTGCCACCATGCCCAGCGAATTTTTTGTGTTTTTTGTAGAGACAGGGTTTCACCATGTTGACCAGGATGGTCTCTTATCTCTGGACCTCGTGATCCACCCACCTCGGCCTCCCAAAGTGCTGGGATTACAGGCGTGAGCCACCTGCATTGGCCGATCATGGGACTTCACTCCAAAATTGTGTGAGCTAATTCCCGTAGGAGATACATAAATTTATGAATAAACAGATTTCCTGTGGGCTTATCTCAGTGGTGCCGCTTCAACTTTTGAAGAACCCTGACTAGTACACATAGCAAAACACACACACACACACACACACACACACACACACACAAATGGGTTCCCTGTCGTCAATGAGTACTTTTTAATTTTTTTAAATTAAAAATTTTATGAGTATTTTTTAATAACCAAACACAAGATAAAATGCCACAGCATATCTACTACCTGGGGCTCTTTCCATATGGAAAGCACTGTCTGAGATGCCTTGTAGTAAAACATCAAGGAGATTGAGGGAAGATACCCTCTCTTCTCCTGGTAAATCTCCGTGTTCGTGGTCATTATTTTAAAGGCTCCAAAGATCAAAACATCTGTTTGCACATGTTGCTGATTCATTTTGGGTGAGGCTCTTTGGCAGGCTCGGAAGGGTGGGTGAACAGGGGGAAGGGGCTGCCTCTGTGGTGACTAGCATCACTCATATCCATGTCTGTGGCAGTCATCAGGTGCTTATTATATATTTGTCATTTGGCCACCCCTATGCGGGTGTTAAATGCAGGAAGAGTCAAGTTATTGCAAATTGGCAGGACTTCTGGGACCTATCTACACACGATAGTAATGGCAGATACCTTCTTTTTAGAATTTTACTTTTTATTATTTTTTTGAGACAGGGTCTCACCCTGTGACACAGACTGGAGTGCAGTGGTGTGATCACAGCTCATTGTCCCTCGACTTCTCAGGCTCCAATGATCCTCCCACCTCAACCTCTCAAATAGCTGAGGCCATAGACAGGGGCCACCATGGCCAGCTAATTTTCATATATTTGGTAGACAAGGTTTCACCATGTTTTCCAGGCTAGGTGGATACCTTTCAAAAATAAGTTCAGTTCATCCTGCCTAGCCTTGCCCCTGCAGCTCTAGAGGAATTACCCCCATGGTGCTGGGCTAGGCTGCCTGGCTCTGGAACAGCGTGCTCAGAGCTACAGGGGAGGCCTGCTGTCTGACTGGCAGAGAGAGTCCCACCACTCCCTACCCTGTGCCCTGGAAGACCAGGCTTCCCAGTCTGTCCACCTGGTAGACCTTTTCCTTACCCAATTCTCTTCCCATTCCTGTTGTGCACCTTGATGCCTGCAGGGACTGCCCTAGCTGAGACAGTGTCTAGGCCCTCCCTTCTGCCAGCTGGTGTCCAGGGAAGTGGGTCCTCTAGTCTCCTTCCTGCCAGTCAGAATTTCCAGGGCCTTGCTTCTCCCATTGCAAATTTTAACTCATTCCTGGGTTTCTTTTTCTTTTCTTTTCTTTTTTTTTTTTTTTTTGAGACAGAGTCTCACTCTGTTGCCCAGGCTCGAGTGCAGTGGTGCAATCTCAGCTCACTGCAACTTCTGTCTCCCAGGTTCAAGCTATTTTCCTGCCTCAGCCTCTCAAGTAGCTGGGATTACAGGTGCACACCACCACGCCTGGCGGCTAATGTTTTGTATTTTTTGCAGAGTCGGGGCTTCACCATGTTGGCCGGGTTGTAGGCTAGGGTTTCTTAACCTCAGCAGTACGGTCATTTTGGGAGGCAGAATTCTTTGTTGTGGGGTGCTGTCCTGAGCATCGCAGGGTGCTTAGGATCCTACCCAGCCTCTACCCGCCAGATGCCGTGGGTGCTTCCCAGTGGTCACAATTAACAAAGGCTCTAGACAGAGCTACATGTCCCCTGAGGGGCAAAGTTAATTCCCCTTGAAGACCAGTGGTGTGCTGGATGGAGACTAGCATTAAAATAATAATAATGATAGAAATCATAATTAACTCATATAATTAACGTAAGTCCTTTTTGATGGAACATTTATTTCCGTTAATAATACTTGTAGATGTCTGCCTTGATAGGTCTTTTTAAAAAACTTTTTATTTTGATTTAATATCAGGGTTTGAGAAATTTGCAAAAGGAATGAATCCAAAGACCTCTGATTACCCCAGATTCTAACGTTTCCACATCACCTTTCTCTTCCCTCCCTGTGATTCCCCCAGCCCCTGCTCCCCACCTTTCTGTCTGTCTCCCCACCCAGCAAGCTCCCTGGGAGTGCAGTACCACTTATGCCAAAAACAGCATTTTTTTTTCTCTGAAGTAGCATTTCTGACGTTTGGATTTAGGCTGGAAGTGACAGTGAGTTATAATCATCCTTGCCTGTGTTGTCCTTCCCATGTTAGGTTTGTTATGCCGTGTATGTCTGCAGTTCATGACAATCTAGGTCATACAGGCCTTCTGAAAAGTTTTGAAAACGTACCCAGTCAGTCCCCGAGCACCAGATGTTCGTTTGCGTTATTTTTCTTTATTAGGCTATTATGACTTTATTGAGAATCTCACTCTTTTTTAGAGAGAGTCTTTGTTGCCTAAGCTAGACTGCAGTGGCGCGCTCACAGGTCAGGCAAACCTTGAACCCCTGGGCTCAAAGGCTCAAACAGTTCTCCCCCGCCCTTGCTCCTGGAACCCAAGTGGCTGGAGGTGGGAGGGGATCCTTCTTCCAGCCCCGGGCGCCCTCTCCGGGCCTCCAAAGCGGCGCGTTTCCGGGGCGCGGCGGGGCCGAGGGGCGGGGTCCCTGTAAGGCCCCTTCTCTCCCTCGCTGGGCCTCTTATAAAAGTCTGAGCCCCGCCCGGCTGAGGCCCGCTGGCAGACTCCACAGCAACCAGCACCATGCCTATGATACTGGGATACTGGGACATCCGCGGGGTGAGGGAGGGCCCACTACGCCGTGGGACGGGGCGAGACGCGGGGAGGGAAGTGCGGAACAGCTGCGGGACCGGCTCTAGGGACGGTTCCTCTTCAGGGCTGTCCCTCACGGGAAGGCCTGTGCTTGCTGCTGTGTGGGGTGGGGGAGGGGAAAGGGACAGGTAGGGGGCGCGGGGAAGGTGTGAGACGGGAAGGAGAGGAGGCGATGGGTGCGTGCAATGTAGACTGGGGTTCCCCTGGTGCAGAGAAAGTCACCAAGTCAGGGACACTCCATCTCTGACCCGAGCCACGGGCCATCTCTCCCAGCTGGCCCACGCCATCCGCCTGCTCCTGGAATACACAGACTCAAGTTACGAGGAAAAGATGTACACAATGGGGGACGGTAATGGCACCCTCTTGTCCGGGCCCTGCCCACTCACGCTGAGTTGGCACCAAGCAACCTACGGTGGCCACCTGTGGCTGCCCCTGCAGGCCTCCCCTGCTGGAGCAGCAACCTGCCCCTCCCCTGAGCCCCGGTGAGGGAGACCTCTGGCTTTACAAGGCAGAATGCTAGGGTGGGATGCTGGGGCAGGAAGCTGGGCCCCCGGTCTGGGTAACTGGGGTGGGTGTCCTTCAGGGCTTGGCTAAAGCCTGGAAGCCTTAGTCGTGTGGGGTCCAGAGCCCTCACCAGGATTCTTTCTCCCTGAACCCTGGGACGTGGGACTGAGTGGTCAGATTCTAGATCCACCAGTCTCAGGGGTCTTGCCACTGGCTCCTTGGGAGGGCCCTGGGGAAGGTGGGCTGGGCTCCCGGGAGGTTTGTTTTCACTTCCTCTTCCCACCGCAGCTCCTGACTATGACAGAAGCCAGTGGCTGAAGGAAAAATTCAAGCTGGGCCTGGACTTTCCCAATGTAGGTGCAGGGGAAGGGGCGGTTTTGGGGCAAAGTGTAGCGTGTCTCTGACTGCATCTCCTCTCCCCAGCTTAGAGGTGTTAGGGTCAGGAGTCTTCTGCCCAGTTCCTCTCATTCCTGGCTGTCTGCACAACCCTTCCATGCTGTTCCGTGTCCCAGCTCATTCGTCCATATGACAGTATTCCTATTTCGGCCTGTCATGAGCAGGCACAGTGAGTGCCCGGTCTCCTGTGTGCCCTTGCTTATGGGAAGGGGATGCTGGGGAGGCTGCTGGCCCAACTGAGCTTCCCTGGTTTCCCATCTATCCAGCTGCCTTACTTGATTGATGGGGCTCACAAGATCACCCAGAGCAACGCCATCCTGCGCTACATTGCCCGCAAACACAACCTGTGTGAGTGCAGGAGGCTGCAGGGTGTGGGGGGACGGTGGCCTCCTCCTGGGCTTGTCTGGGGTGCGATACTGAGAGTGAGTCTGTGTTTTGTGGGTGGCAGGTGGGGAGACAGAAGAGGAGAAGATTTGGGAAGACATTTTGGAGAACCAGCTTATGGACAACCGCATGCAGCTGGCCAGACTCTGCTATGATCCAGATTTTGTGAGCCCCCTACCCCGTCAGCCCTTTTCCTTCAGTTTTGATCAGGAGCCAAGACTCTGGTACTGCCATCTACACTGTTCCTGTTTTCCATTTGAACTCCTTCCTGCTACTCGTCCTCCAAGCTATTAGGAAATACTGCCACCAGAGTGCCTCTCAAACCCCAAAGTTGTCTCAAATAAAACCTCTAAATCAATTCCCCACCAATGTACTTATAGAATCCAGACTCCCCAGGGTATGAATACACTCTCTAGATAGTAACGGTTACTTCTAGAATCCCCTCCTTCTCTGACCCATGACTTGTGCTTTGGGCTGTCTCTCCCAAGTGGTTTATATGTCTGCCTGCTTTGGCATACACAGACTCAAACTAGGGGGAAAACAAGTGCAAAAGAAAGGAACGTAATGGCACCTCCAGACTTTGGTGTCTTCTGAGTACTCTCTTTTTTTTTTTTTTTTTTAATTTTTTATTGGATTTTAGGTTTTGGGGTACATGAGCGGAGCATGCAAGACAGTTGCGTAGGTACACACATGGCAGTGTGCTTTGCTTTTCTTCTCCCCTTCACCCACATTTGGCATTTCTCCCCAGGCTATCCCTCCCCACCTCCCCCTCCCACTGGCCCTCCCCTTTTTCCCCCAATAGACCCCAGTGTTTAGTACTCCCCTTTCTGTGTCCATGTGTTCTCATTTTTCATCACCCACCTATGAGTGAGGATATGCGGTGTTTCATTTTCTGTTCTTGTGTCAGTTTGCCTGAGTACTCTCTTGACACACACTGAGATCAGCGCATTTTCCCAACGGGCAGCTTAGGGGCGCAGCCAGAGGCTCTTTTTTCAAAACCTTCCTTTCTTTCACTCAGCCTCTGAATATCTCCTCATCTTTCCAGAAACCACTCAATGCCCATTGTATTCTGCTGCTACTCCACTAGGAGGAACTTTCTACTTCTTTTCCTGAGCTCCTAAGTTCTTTGCATCCTAGATTCTGCGCATGTCTGGGTCAGAGACTGCCAGGTGCTAGGGTGCTCTTGGGGCTGACCCAGAGGTTGTTGGGAGGTCAGTAGGGACAGATTCAGGGACAGTGTCACATTCCTTTTTGCCTTCCCATCACCTCAGAGAGACTCGAGCTACCCCGTTAGAGTCTCATAAATGCTGATGTATTCAACTGAAGCCTGGCACTGACCCAGTTCCAGTTGTGGGGAAGATGGCTGCCTGCCTGTGGCTGCCTGGGGCAATGCACAGCCCTGGGGAGGCCCCATCTGTGCAGGGAGCTTATGTCTGAGGGTGGTGACAGCTGTTTTCTGCCTCAGGAGAGACTAAAGCTAGAATACCTGGAGGGACTTCCTGAAATGCTGAAGCTCTACTCACAGTTTCTGGGGAAGCGGCCCTGGTTTCTTGGGGACAAGGTAACTGGGGTGTGTGATGGGGACACTACAGATTTGTCATACTTCCTATATTATGGAGGTTTCAGCCCACATATCCTTGACCTTATCCAGATCACCTTTGTGGATTTCATTGCTTATGATGTCCTTGAGAGAAACCAAGTATTTGAGCCCACCTGCTTGGACGCCTTCCCAAACCTGAAGGACTTCATCTCCCGATTTGAGGTGATGCCCCCATCATCCTTTCCTTTAATGTCCCTTATTTCTTTCCCTCCTTTGTGATGCTTTCCCAGTCCTGGAGCTATACAAAGAATAACTCACATTTATGCCCGTGCTGGTGGCTCATGCCTGTAATCACAGCACTTTGGAGGCCAAGCAAGGTGGGTGGATCACCTGTGGTCAGGAGTTTGAGACTGGCCTGCCCAACATGGCAAAAACCTCATCTTTGCTAAAAAAAAAAAAAAAATAGAAAAATTAGCCAGGCATGGTGGTGCACACCTGCAATCAATCCCAGCTACTTGGGAGGCTGAGGCAGAAGAATCACTTGAAGCCAGGAGGTGGAGGTTGCAGTGAGCCAAGATTGTGCCACTTCACTCCAGACTGAGCGACAGAGTGAGACTCCCTCTCAAGAAAAAAATAAAAAGGAGAAGAAGAACAAAAGAATAACTCGCATTTGTTGAGTGCTGGCTTCATGCTATGAACCGTGACCAGCACATTATACCTATGGTGTCGAATTTGACCTTTACAACATTCCTACAGGGTGACAGAATTATCTTGCCCGTTTTAGAAATAAAGAAACTGAGAGAGAGGGTCAGTCCTTTGCTCAGGGTCCCAGAGCCAGTGGAGGCTGTGCTGGGCTCCCTGTGAGCCTCTGATCTATGGGCGGCAGTCAGGGCTCTCCCTTTTGCAACAAAAGAAAAAGCCTCAGGCCTTGTCCAGCCTGGGTTTTACTGCCCAGGACACTCTGGAAGGGGCAGAGCTCTTCAGGAGCGTTGGATGCAGCTGGCAATAGTAGGACTGGCACACGGTAGCATTGATGTTGAGTACTAAACCCACAGGCAGTATTCATAGCTACCCCCAGCAGCTTTGTATGAATTGACCCCCGTGTGGGGAATCCTGAGAGCCAGGGCTGTGGCTGTAGCTGGATGAGGTACATATGTGGGTGCCCCTGTTGAAGGAGTTTATATTGAAATGTCCTGCACTGGGGCATTCTCCTTCCCTACCTCTCTTCTCTCTCTCTTTTTTTTTTTTGGAGACAGAGTCTTGCTCTGTTGCCCAGGCTGGAGTACAATGGTGCAATTGTGGCTCACTGAAACCTCTGCCTCCCAGATTCAAGCGATTCTGCTGCCTCAGCCTCCTGAGAGGCTGGAATTACAGGTGTGCACCACCATATCGGGCTAATTTTTATATTTTAGTAGAGACGGGGTTTCTCCATGTTGGCCAGGCTGGTCCCGAACTCCTGACCTCAGGTGATCTGCCTGCCTCGGCCTCCCTAAGTGCTGGGATTGCAGGTGTGAGCCACTGCTCCTGGCCTCTTCCTTTCTTTTTTCCCTCCAGTGTTCCAAGTGTCCCCCTGTGAGATGGGGAGCACACTGATTTTAACTCCTATTCACCAACCTTCTCCTCTGCATGAAGCAGGGTGAGAGGCACAGTGGGAGATGCATAGAGGACCGCCCCATCCTGAAAGTGAGAGCAGGGAGAGGCCTGCAGGCAGAGCAGTCTGTGAGGTGTGTGTGGCATCCCTGGGTACCTGGCCCGGGGCCTGCCCCTCACTCACAGGGAATCATCCTTCACCCCTGTCAAACTTGTTTAAGAGCAGCAAATCCTGCTTTAGTACAGATTTGGGAATTTGAGGCATTAATCCAACAGGTTTGTGAGCCTAGAATCTGTTTCCTTTTCCCACTCCCCATCAAGAGATCTGCTTGCTCACCTAGTTCCCATTAGCTCTGGTTCTGGTCCAGGCTCAGTGGCCTTGGGGTTATGTAAGAGGTGGTGGGAGGGAAGGGGTGGAGGAGCACTGAAGGCTATGGCCTGCAATGTGCCAGGGCCGAACACTTTCAGAACAGGCAGTCCTGGATTTTTTTTTTTTTTTTTGAGTCAGAGTCTCGTCGCCCCAGCTGGAGTGCAGTGATGTGATCTTGGCTCACTTCAGTATCTGCCTCCTGGGTTCAAGCAATTCTCTGCCTCAGCCTCGAGTAGCTGGGATTTCAGGCTCCAGCCACCATGCCCTGCTAATTTTAGTAGAGACAGGGTTTCACCATGTTGCCAGGCTGGCCTTGAACTTCTGACCTCAGAAGTTCGACCCACCTCGGCCTCCCAAAATACTGGGATTACAGGCAGGAGCCACCATGCCTGGTCGAATCTTTTTGAATATCTTAGAAATTATCTGGGCGTTGAATCCTGTTAAGATTGTGTACAGCACACCTGAGTGTCATGCAGCCAGGCCTACAGTAGCAGGGCTGGAGATTTGATGGCTTAGGGCACAGTGAGATTTTGCTCAGGAACTAGATGGAGAACTTTGGACTTCCTGCTTTAAGGGGAATGATTAGAACCTGGTCTGGCCTTTCATTTTCTAGTGCACCATCGCCCCCCATACCACTTTCATCCAGGTTTTACTGAGACATTGGGTGTCTCCTGAGCCCCTTTCTTCTGCTGGAGGTCCCTTCTGTGAGTCTACACCAAGGCAAGCCAGGAGCCTCCCTGTGGAAAAGGAGACTGTACAGTCAAGGGGTGACAGGACCTGGTGTCGGGGGTAGTGCGACAGAGGAAGAAGAGAATTTGGCAGAAAGGGGCCAGAACTGGAGAGAGGCAGAACCAGGCTACATTGCAGTCCTGTCCCCTTACTAGCTGTCTGAGTGTGAGGAAGTTGGTGAATTTCGGTTTCTCACAGGAGAAATAGTGATAATAGATTTGACTTTGCAGAGTAGTTGAGTGGATTTTCTAAGCTTATGTCATAATTTATTTTGGGTATAGAGAACCCAGTACAGTGTAGAATCTTCATAAGTGGTAGTTGTTTTCATGGTATAACATTACTTAAAGGAAGTGGGAAGAGTTAACTTAGCAGATGTATGTGGTGACCCTAAGAGCCTGTGCGATGTTCCAGCACTTGAGCCCAGGTGGAAAGGCTGTGGCCAGGGCCCTGACCTGCTGCGCCTGCAGTGGGGTTGCCCCAGCCCTCATGGGCAGCTGACCTTGAGCTCTGGCCTTATTTTTCCTCCTTTCAGGGCTTGGAGAAGATCTCTGCCTACATGAAGTCCAGCCGCTTCCTCCCAAGACCTGTGTTCACGAAGATGGCTGTCTGGGGCAACAAGTAGTGCCTTGAAGGCCAGGCGGTGGGCCTACCTGATCCCTGCCTACCTGATCCCTGCCTACCACCTGATCCTAGTAGAGCCTCAACCACATTTTCTGTGTGTCTTCTCTTATTTGCTCCTAGAATCTGTTTCCTTTTCCCACTCCCCATCAAGAGATCTGCTTGCTCACCTAGTTCCCGTTAGCTCTGGTTCTGGTCCAGGCTCAGTGGCCTTGGGGTTATGTAAGAGGTAGTGGGAGGGAAGGGGTGGAGGAGCACTGAGGGCTATGGCCTGCAATGTGCCAGGGCCTCAACCACATTTTCTGTGTGTCTTCTCTTATTTGCGCCCCAGAGTGTCTGTCACTGCTTCTTCCAAGGGACTGGGTGGTAACCCTGACAGTGGCTGGGTTGGAAAGGATTCGGCTGGGTGTAGTAAGGCACTTGACAATTCTTGCTCTCATTTCTGACAGACTCAGTGAGGCACTATGGAAAGGGGAGTCTATTTCTGGCCCTGAACCTAACATTCATTCCTCCAGCCTTACTGAGTGCTTTCCGTAATCATGCAGAGCTTGTGTTTCACTGAACAGGGATCTTAAGGGGGTATAATCCCCATCAGAAAGAGCCAGGGTCCCTTTTGCCTTCTCCACTCCATGCCTGCATCACTTCTGCTTGGTCTCCAGGACCTAGTCTCTATTGTTTCCTCAGATGGCTTCATCAGGACGTTCTCTCTGGGTTTACTTCCTCACTTTCTTGGGTACCTGCAAGAGAAATGTCTTCAGTCCTTGCATAACTGAAAGTGTCTTTACATGCTTGCTTAATACTTTGGCTGGTGTTTTAGTCTGTTCTCATGCTGGTAATAAAGACGTACCGGAGACCAGGTATTTATAAATGAAAGAGGTTTAATAGACTATAGTTCCACATGGTTGGGGAAGCCTCATAACCATGCTAGAAAGTGAATGAGGAGAAAAGTCACTTCTTACATGGCAGCAGGCAGGAGGGCCTGTGCAGTGGAACTCCCACTTATAAAACCATCAAATCTCGTGAGACTTATTCACTACCATGTGAACAGTATGGAGGAAACTGCTGTCACAATTCAATTATCTCCATGTGGCCCCACCCTTGACATGTGAGGATTATTACAATTCAAGTAAGATTTGGGTGGGGAAACAGTCAAACCATATCAGCTGGGGATAGAATTCTGTGATGAAACCCTTCTGGCCTCTAATAGATTTACTCACTCTTTTCTAGAATTGAGCATTTCTGATGAGCAGGTGGATGCCGGTCTGTCTGCATCCTTTGCTTTTTTACTTAAGCTTTTTTTTTTTTTTTTTTTTTGAGATGGAGTTTCGCTGTTGTTACCCAGGCTGGAGTGCAATGGTGCAATCTCGGCTCACCGCAACCTCTGCCTTCTGGGTTCAAGCAATTCTCCTGCCTCAGCCTCCTGAGTAACTGGGACTACAGGTGCATGCCACCATGCCCAGCTAATTTTTGTAGTTTTAGCAGAGAGGGGGTTTCACCTTGTTGATCAGGATGGTTTCGATCTCTTGACCTCGTGATCCACCCGCCTCAGCCTCCCAAAGTGCTGGGATTATAGGTGTGAGCCACCGCGCCCGACCTACTTAAGCTTTTTCTTTTTGTCATTCTGAGGTCTATAATTGCAAAGCCTGCATGGGGATCTGCAGGTTGATCTCTTCCTGATTCCCATCCTTTCAGGAACATTTTAAGCATAGGCTTCCTCCACCCTGTCAGCAATCCCGTATCTTCATCTGCGTTCTATCTTCTTGAAGTAATTTAAAATCTCACTGGAGAGTGAGCTGCTTCAGAGGACGATTCTCATAGCTCAGCAGTTCCTAAGCTGTGACACCAGAAATAGTTGTGGAGTCTGTGGGTCAGGTATTCACGCAAGGCTCAGTAGGGGGAACTTACTACAAATCAACGAAGGTTCTTCTCCAAAAACTATATATCCAGAAACACAACTCATTAAAAAATGAGCCAAAATTTCAACAAGCATTTCCCAAAAGTGAATATCCAAATGGCCAATAAGCACAAGAAGATGCTCAACATCATTAGACAGCAGAAAGTTAAACCCCTACTGTTCAGATCCTGTTGTATCCCCACCAGAATGGCTGACATGGAAACTACTGACAATTGTTGGTGATTTATGGAGTAACTGGAAGTGTCATGCATTGCTGGTGGGAAAGCCGCTTTGGAATACTGGCAGTGTCAACTAGAGCTAAACATACATCTACCCAGGACCCAGAAATCCCAACCTGCAGGAATGAGTCCTAATGGATTCCAAGAGTCAGATACAATGATGTCAAAAGCAGCTTATTTTAAATAGCCAATAACGGAAAACAATCCAAATGCCATGAACACAAGAATGAACAAATGAACTGCAGTTTGTTCGTATAATAGGATGCTTACTCTGCTATGATGAAAATAAATGTGCTAATGCTACATGCAGAAACATGAATGGGCCTCACAGACATGTTGAGTAACAGGATCCAGACAAGAGAAAGGACACATGGTCTCTCCACTTACATGAAAATCAGGAGAGGGAAATGAGTCCATGGTATCGGAGGGCCGATGATGGGTGGCCTTGGCGGGAACTGGGAAGTTGCCTGTGAAGGGCCTGGTGGAGTGCTGCAAGTTTCCTCTGTCTTTATCCGGGAGGTGATTCCAGAATAGCAGACAAGTGGGAAATCCCGGCGTAGCACACTGAAGACCTGTGCACTGTGTATATCACACTTCAGTGAAAAGTATGCACATGTGTCTTAGATTATTTGTGTGTCTGTGTTTGTTTGCTTTCCCTCATAAGGCGTCAACATCTCGAGGGCATGTGTTTTTACCTCTTCTTATTCACTGATGTTACAGGCGTTTGGATATCACCCAGAACAGTCCCTGAGCATAGTAGGTGCTCACTGAATAGTTAAGCAAATAAATTATAGGCTCATCTTAATGGTGTAATTTCAAATTCTCTTTGGGTTTTTATTCATGCCTACCTCTTTGGATTGGTGAGACTGGTGTGCATATATACTCAGATTCTGCAGTTTTTCTCTTTAACATTTTACTTTTTTTTTTTTTTTTGAGTCAGAGTCTTGCTCTGTTGCTCAGGCTGGAGCGAAGTGGTACAATCTCAGCTGACTGCAACCTCTGCCTCCTGGGTTCAAGAGATTCTCATGCCTCAGCCTCCTGAGTAGCTGGGACTACAGGCATATACCACCACACCTGGCTAGTTTTTGTACTTTTAGTAGAGATGTTTTGCCATCATGGCCAGGCTGGTCTCGAACTCTGGGCCTCAAGTTGTCCACCCGCTCAACCTCTTAAAGCGCTGGGATTTACAGGTGTGAGCCACCACACCTGGCCTAACATTTTACTTAGAAATCCGTACATGTTGGCAGTCTGTATGCATGCCTACTTCTAATGTTGAATGGCTAACATTAGTTCCTGTGGATAAAATAGAGTTTGCCTAGTCATTCTTATGCTACTGGGCATGTGGATTTTTCTAACTTACTTATTTTAGAGCAGGGTAATCATGTTTAGACTAATCCTTCCCTGTTTTTGGTTACTTCGAATAGATCCCCAAAGGCGATTGTTACATGGTAAAGGGTGAGAATGGCTTCATGGTATTATAACGTAATTTGATTGCTCTTCAGAGGGAATAACTTAATTTATGGTGCCACCAGCAAGGTACATGGACCTTTCTGCACTATTTTAGACACTTAGGGGATTGCAGTTTCATCTTATTTTTTTTCATATATATATATATATATATATATATATGAATACCTTCAAGTGTTCTGGCTGGGCGTGTTGGCTGATACCTGCAATCCCAGCACTTTGGGAAGCAGATGTGGGCAAATTACTTGTGGTCAGGAGTTTGAGACCAGCTTAGCCAATATGGTGAAACCCCATCTCTATTACAAATACAAAAATCAGCCAGGCCGAATTGCTTAAACCTGAGGGCAGAGGTTGCAGTGTGCCGAGATCAGGCCACTGCACTCCAGCTTGGGCTGGAGTGAGGCTCCATCTCAAAAAAAGAATACTTACAAGTTTTCTACCGTCACCTTCTTTGTTTATTGGTTGCGCATGTTTCTGTCAGTGAATCACAGTCTATGAATCTGTTTGTGAATCCCTGTATCAAACCCTGTGTACCCATTCTCTACCTGTGGCTCAGTCAGTTTCTGGAGAAAGGTTAGAGAATGATCTTGTGGCAGTCAAGACCTTTTCTCCAATAGGCACAATGTAGTTAATTGTGATTCTGTTCTAGGTTTCCTGTGGCCTACTGTGAGGGTTAATTTTCTGCATCAGCTTGACTGGGCTAAGGGATGCTCAGATGGCTGGTGAAATGATTGTGTTTGTGAGGGCGTTTCCAGAAGAGATTCGCTTTTGAATCAGAAAACTGAACAAAGATTTCCCTCAGCAGTGAGGGGGCATCCACCGAACTATCAGGGCCCAGAGTGAAGAAAAAGACAGAGGAAGGGTGAATCTGATCTTTCTGACTGGGACCTCCATCTCCGCCTGTCCTAGGACATTCGCATTCCTGGTTCTCTGGCCTTCAGACTTGATCAGGGACTAACACCATCGCCTCCCACCCCACCTTTCTTCAGAGGCCTTTAGACTCACACTGAATGAGACCACCGGCTTTCCTGCTTCTCTATCCTGCAGTCGGCTGATCATGGACTTCGCTCCAAAATTGTGTGAGCTAATTCCCGTAAGAGATACGTAAATTTATGAATAAACAGATTTCCTGTGGGCTTATCTCAGTGGTGCCACTTCAAATTTTGAAGAACCCTGACTAGTACACATAGCAAAAACAAACCAACAAATAAAACACAAATGGGTCAGCATCATCAATAAGTTAAAAAAAGATCAAACACAGGCTGGGAGTGGTGGCTTATGCCTGTAATCCTAGCACTTTGGGAGGCCAAGGTGGGCAGATCACCTGAGGTCAGGAGTTCAAGACCAGATGGTGAAACCGCATCTTAAAAAAAAGGAAAAAAAGAAAATCAAACACAAGATAAAATGCCACAGCATATCTACTACCTGGGGCTCTTTCTATATGGAAAGCACTGTCTGAGATGCCTTGTAGTAAAACTTCAAGGAGATTTTGAGGGAAGACAACCTCTTTTCTCCTGGTAAACGGTGTTCATAGTCATTATTTTAAAGGCTCTAAAGATCAAAACATCTGTTTGCACATGTTGCTGATTCATTTTGGGTGAGGCTCTCTGGCAGGCTTGGAAAGGTGGGTGAACAGGGGGAAGGGGCTGCCTCTGTGGTGACTAGCATCACTCATATCCATGTCTGTGGCAGTCATCAGGTGCTTATTATGTATTTGTCATTTGGCCACCCCTATGGGGGTGTTAAATGCAGGGAGGGTCTACTCAAGCCGTTACAAGTTGGCAGTGACTTGTAGCAACTTTCTGCACACGCTTCTCAGTCAGGGTGGATACCTTTTGAAAATAAGTTCTGTTCATCCTGCCTAGCCTTGCTCCTGCAGCTCTAGAGGAATTACCCCCATGGTGCTGGGCTAGGCTGCCTGGCTCTGGAACAGCGTGCTCAGAGCTGCAGGGGAGGCCTGCTGTCTGACTGGCAGAGAGAGTCCCACCACTCCCTACCCTGTGCCCTGGAAGACCAGGCTGCCCAGCCTGTCCACCTAGTAGACTGTTTCCTTGCCCAGTTCTCCTTCTCTCATTTCTGATGTGTAACTTGATGCCTGCAGGGACTACCCCAGCTGAGACAGTGTCTAGGTCCTCCCTTCTGCCAGCTGGTGTCCAGGGAAGTGGGTCCTGTGGCCTCTTTCCTGCCAGCTAGAATTTCGACAGCCTTGCTTCTCCCACTGCAGCTTTTGACAAAGTGCTGGATCGTAGAGTGGCATTTCTTAACCTCAGCCA